ATTAAGCAAAACATTGCTCCACAAAAATAAAGTGAGTGTAACATATACAGATCTGTCTACAGATTTTTTCCATTGACGGTGTCTTTTTTGGAGGAAAAGAAAACAGTAGTAAACAGTAAATAATAAAGTAAATAATAAAGAATCCTATCTATCACCGTGAGTGGGTTGACCACGTAAAGCCACCCATTCTAACTGCTGAGAAACATACTGCACACAACACACACACACACACACACACACATGATTTTCAAGAAAGCCCCATCAAAATATGTCTTCCTTTTGATTTTATGTAAGATTGAAAAATGTGAATAAAGATGCCACTTATATGCTGTGTAAGAGAGTGGTTCAGTATCAGTTTTTTCAACCAAGAACTCAGTAGTTGGTAATGTGTTTAATCTAATCTTTAAGAAAACTAGAATAGAAGCCAGGGGATTTAGCTAGGTAAATGGACAAAGTCATTTAAACTTTCAGTTCTGCTCACCTTACAGCTTAGCTTTATAGATGATATGTAGATAGAAAAGTTCTTTGGAAAAATAAAGCAACATGTAAATACAAGATAGTATTTCTTTTGTTGTGCTATGAAAGTAATCCATTAGAAATCTGATATCAAATGTAGGCATAAGCCCAGCCTTATAAGACAGATTTATGAAGCCCTTACTCTGGATAATACGCCTTTTGTTTCTCACTAGTATCATATACTATACCGTACATTAAACAGGATACTCTGAGCTTAGTAATATAGAACATTCAGTGCTATAAAAATAAATTTTAGACTATAGGCCTGTTTACAGACTGTGTTACTAACCTCTGCACACTACTTTGTAAAAACCAATTCCTTGTAACCTATAAGTCATTCATTAACTCTCACTTGTTCAGTGTGTAAGAAAAATGTCTTCCTGTCTTGTGCCTCAGGGTAGCATGTAGATCCCTGTGCTACTATACTGTAATCTAGTTATGGGCGAGAATTTTAATTACATGGTTCATTTTTTATTCCAAGCTATGATAATAATGTTGGCTAACATACATTTACTAAATGAAAGCTCAACATTTTTTTTATATTTTTTTTATTTTACAGGTAGAGTTATAGACAGTGAGAGAGAGAGACAGAGAGAAAGGTCTTCCTTCCATTGGTTCACTCCCCAAATGGCCTCCCTGGCCGGTGCTGTGCCGATCCAAAGCCAGGGGCCAGGTGCTTTTTCCTGGTCTCCCATGTGGGTGCGGGCGCCCAAGCACTTGGATCATCCTGCACTGCCCTCCCAGGCCACAGCAGAGAACTGGACTGGAAGAGGAACAACCAGGACTAGAATATAGCACCATATGGGATGCCAGTGCCACAGGCAGAGGAGTAACCAAGTGAGCCACAGCGCCAGCCCCTATTTTTCTAAATTGTACATATTATTTTCTTCTTCAATTCATTAATTTAGAAAACACTGATCAAGTACTTGTTATGTTCCCATTAGGATAGCTCTGAGAGTTTACTAAATAAGAGAGAAATAGGCAAAGAAGTACCAACATGTTTTAAAATAAATTTCCAAAAATTGTTAGAGTATCATTGAAATAAAATTATTTAATTCTATCTAGAAAGGTCTTTTCTGTGTAGATGACACATTGAATATTGGATAACGAAAAAAGTTTTGGATAACAAAAGCAATTGAATATTAACGAAGTTGGTAAGATTGTTGAGAAACAATTCTTCATGAGTCTCATGCATATCTGATTGTCACAGGGATGGGAAACATCCAGCCCATGAAATCATTTGGTCTTCTCTTCCAAAAACAACCACAACAGGGACTCAAAATTCTATAGATCTATAGAAGCCAAATTTTTAAGTTGATGATTTTCTAAGGCCTGAAAATGATATTCTAAATATCCAAATAACTTTGTGTAGGAAAAGGTTCCCCAACCCAACTAACATGACATTGATTGTCTTTCTTTGGAAATAACTTTTCAAGGATGTTTGTCTAGCAAACAGCCTTGGATGATAGAGATAGTATCTCCCATGGAAGCCAATGGCAGACTTGCTTGCTGCCCTTTATGAAGTGCTGAGGTTTCTCAGGGGCAGCTCCTAAAATGCAGCTTACTGACTGTGCAGGTATCCTCTAGTCCACATCCTGTCTTTCCTTCTCCGTTGGACAGTCTCTCATCATTAACCTATACTTTGAAATATGTGTGATGTGTGAGTCCCTTTTTGCCAATCACTGTTCACTTCCTGGGATTGCTATCTCTGTATTAGTTTTTTTTTTTTTTTGGATCTTCAGATAAGCTCAAACAGTGCTTAGTGGACAAATCCATCCAAATGTTGTCCAAGCACCTAGAATACAATAATTCAAAATGACACCATGTTTCTCCCCACTAGAACTTACCTTTCTTCAGATACACCCCACTGCATGCTATTTCTTACCATTTATATAATTGTTACACTTATTACTGGTTCTAGTTTGACGTATACCCAGTTGTGTACCCAATGGATGACACATGCAGTGTTCAAAAATTAGTTGTTGTTTATATTAATGAATTTCTTCTTTAACAGTTTTAAGTAGCATTCGATTCAAGAAGAATGTAAAATAATATCAAATGTACACACGTTCTGCTCTGACTAAAATGGAAATAATTGTTTACTTTAATTTCTTCATATTGCTTATGAATAAAGCAGCCACACCACAATGATGCAAAGAAATGTCCCCAGTTCTTTAATTATACTCAGCACACTGTTATAATCTTCAATAACGTTTTCCTTCTTTGAGTAAACATCGCTATTTAGTTAAGAAGAATTCTTTGTCCATGTGTGCTCTAAGCTAACTGCTATTGAAATTGCAGTTTCAGGAACAAATCAGTGATAATGAGACTAGATGGCTTACAATTCCCTTGTTTTGTTCATGTTTCATTTCTGCTATTTTCACATTGGAAATACTAACGATAATGGGCTTCTCCCATTTATCCTACCTTATCATCCCATACTTTCCTTTATTCCTTGGTTGAAATTATAACCACTCTATAAATTCTGCCTGATTTCACAATTGCCATCCAAAAATGAGCTCAAACCTCCCCCATGCCTCCACTGAATCATCCATTCTTCCAAGTTAACTCCATGCATCACAACCTACACAGAAGATGAAGAAATGAGAATTTTCCTCCATGGTTAATTTTTGCTTATTGAATCACACAGTTTCATAGAAATTGTGGAGAGTGGCCTGTAAACATTGTAATAGGGACCAGCTGAGTTCTTTGAGCTAGCTCCGAATACTAATAAAGTCAGTAACAGCTTTGGACACCAAGAAGGCCAGTGAGCATATTTATGTGCCGTAAACAAATTAAGCCCTGCATCTTCACCAGTGTATGCCACTGATTGTTAGTGAGATGATATGAATTGGCAGGCTGGAATTCATCATTTCTGATGAAAAGCAAAACAAGATTTTGAAATGTAGATCCTTTGGATCTTGGGCAATTCCATCAGCTACTCATTTGGAGAATGAAGTGATTACTCACGTATTACTCAACTCAGAAGTACGAAGATGTTATATTGGTACAGTCTGGAAAGATGTAGCCTACTTCCAAGTTTGACTGTGATATGAAATTGAGAAAGGCTCTTATTTTCCCTGTTTCAAATAGCAGCCTTCTACATAGGTATATTTAGAAGGCACATATATTCTTTATAGTAGACACATAGTACTTAGACTAGATCCAGAGGTTCCACAACCAGACATTTGCCATTTCAGATTTGGGCAAAAGATAGAACAAAGTGTTTGTTACCTGGGGCAAGGACTAGACTGTTCCCAGCGGGAAAATGAAGATTGGGTCCTACTAGGGTTCTGTCCTTCAAGAAGCAACACTGAAATGGTAGTTGTGCCATATGACATGGAGAAGAAATATACCCATTACACTCTCTTCCACTTTTTTCTGTAGCCTCAGATTTTTGGGCACAAATCAAAACCCCATATCCACACACAAGTTCATATTTTAGAGGCCAGCATCTGGTATGACAGTGTTGTAGAAGTCTGCTAAGATAATGATCTAATTTTTTAGTGAGCTGTAACATTGGTGAATTAACCAATAGGTTTTCTCTGTAGATCCTTGGTAGATTACCTATTCCACATTCACATTGTAGAAATTAATTTCTTGAATCTTAAGCATAAGTACAATGAGTGGCACTCCATTATAAGAAAAAATGACTGTATTATAAATAATATTGGTAGCTTTGGGATCCGCAAGAAGGAAGACCTATACTTCCGGGAAGAAAAGTCCTTGTCAAGGTCCCCACGGGTGCCTATAGGTCAACCAATGAGGATCAGACCCACCTCAACCTCTAACCTCCACTCCCTGTATCTATAAAAGGAGCTCTCCCAACCTCTGATGTGCGATTTCCCTGGCCCTGCTCTGTTGGGACTGGGGAACCATGCTGAGGAGCGGAATATCAATAAAAGCCTGTGAATTAATTGATTCCTCTGCCTGGGAAGATTTGTTATGCGCCTGACACCTTGCAAATATAAATGTGGTCTTTGGATTATATCATTGTGTTAATTTCTTACTGCTTTAACTTTCTTTTTTTTTTTTTTTTGACAGGCAGAGTGGACAGTGAGAGAGAGAGACAGAGAGAAAGGTCTTCCTTTGCCGTTGGTTCACCCTCCAATGGCCGCCGCCGCCGGCGCGCTGCGGCCAGCGCACCGCGCTGATCCGATGGCAGGAGCCAGGAGCCAGGTGCTTTTCCTGGTCTCCCATGGGGTGCAGGGCCCAAGCACCTGGGCCATCCTCCACTGCACTCCCTGGCCACAGCAGAGAGCTGGCCTGGAAGAGGGGCAACCGGGACAGAATCCGGCGCCCCGACCGGGACTAGAACCCGGTGTGCCAGCGCCGCTAGGCGGAGGATTAGCCTAGTGAGCCGCGGCGCCGGCTGCTTTAACTTTCTGAATGAGACTTTATTTACCAAAGTATAATTGTGCAACTTCAAATAATCAGCAGTGACAGTCTAAAAATTTTCTATTTTTGTTTTTACGTTATTTCAGGAATCATCTCAGTTATCTGGACTCCCTGGGTATGTTAAAATAGTGGAAGTTGGACCTAGGGATGGATTGCAGAATGAGAAGGTAATTACATATTATTTTATGCAGTTTATTTCAAATGACAAGGCTAAATATCAGTGTTTCTTAAGATTTCAAAGACTTACTTGTATTTTCTATGTTACATGATTATGTTTGTTCCCAATTGCTATTTAAATTTTAAAATTATAAGTAATATTTGCTTTTAGTAAGGAAGTACTTTCTGTTTGAATATCAGCAGTCCATATACAATTACTTATGTGGTAATTTATTATGTCTTGTAGGTTATAGTTCCCACAGACATAAAAATTGAATTTATCAATCAGCTCTCCAAAACTGGCTTGTCTGTAATAGAAGTGACCAGCTTTGTGTCCTCCAGATGGGTACCACAGGTATTTCACTTTGTATTCCTTAATTAGATCCTTAATCAAACCTTGCCAACATCATTTAGTAAACATTATAATATAGATTGTGATATTAAAATATCATTACACATTTTCCACATTCATTAAAAATTAGCCCATACACTGATATGATTAAAGACAAACCCCTTTGGTGAAATATTGAGTCCTAAAGGGTTACTTGCAATTCTTCACTAAATTCATGTGACTATTTGGCCCAACAGGATGAATAGAATGCATAGCAGCAATGTAGAGGATTTACCTCAGTTTACCATTTCATGACTGACTGAATAATTTGAGCATCTCCATATGCTTTTAGCCTTTTTGTCTGCTAAAAGGAAGTGATAGATGTACTGAAAATCCTCTCCATTGAATTCCATATTAAAGGATGTAATATACTCTTTTTGCTTTATTTAGTGTGTATATTTACTACAGGGGTAGGGGGTAAGACATCATCAAAGACAAGACAAAGTGAGTCATCTAGAACTTTCTTTTTTAAAGATTTATTTATGTAGTTGAAAGTCAGCGAGAGAGAGAGAGAGAGAAAATCTTGCACCTGCTGGTTCATTCCCCGGATGGCCACACACACACACACACACAGAGAGAGAGAGAGAGAGAATCTTGCACCTGCTGGTTCATTCCCCAGATGGCCACAACAGGTAAGGCAGTGTGTGCCAGGTCAAAGCCAGAAGCCAGGAGCTTCTTTCAAGTCTTGCACATGAGTGGCAGGGGCCCAAGCACTGCGCCATCTTTCACTGCTTTTCCCAGGTCATTAGCAGTAAGCTGGATTGAAAGTAGAATGGCTGCGACTCAAAACAACACCCATAAGGGATGGTGATATAGCAGCTGGGTGCTTTACCTGCTATGCCACAACATCAGCCCCTAGAATCTTCTTCTGAAAGACAATAAGATGCAGGGCCAGCGCTGCGGCACAGTGGGTTAATGCCCTGACCTGAAGTGCCAGCATCCCATATGGGCGCCAGTTCGAGACCCAGCTGCTCCACTTCCCAGTGAGCTCTCTGCCATGGCCTGGGAAAGCGGTAGAGGATGGCCCAAGTCCTTGGGCCCCTGTACCCACATGAGAGGCCAAGAAGAAGCTCCTGGCTCCTGGCTTCAGATTGGCGCAGCTTGGGCCATTGCAGCCAGTTGGGGAGTAAACCATCAGATGGAGGACTTTCTCTCTCTCTCTCTCTCTCTCTCTCTCTCTCTCTCTCCTCTCTCAGTGTAACTCTGACTTTCAAATAAATAAATCTTAAAAAATAATAATAAATTTAAACAAAAAGAAATACAATAAGATGATAGAGCTGTGTCCCAGTCTTTCCAGGCATGCAATGACAGTCATCAATTCTGAGATATGTCTCTCATCTTTGAAATATGATAAGCAATTATTAAGGAGCAAAGCCCTATTCATTCCTAATGTAGTGCCTATCCTCAGACCATGGATCCCCAATTATTAGGTTTCCAATTTCTCTTTTTCTGTTAAGTGCTGATTTTAAGGTTCTTCTAAAGTTCTGCTTTTAGTACTCTTCTCTGTCTGTGCTCTTTACTTGGTCTGTCTTGCCAACATGACGATCATTGCCATGCTAGCATTTATTGATTGCTACTGAACAACCAGTTATATTCAGATTCTAAATTTGCTAGTGCTCTTTAATGGTTTTACAAAGCTATATAGAAAGTATTGTTCTTCCCCACAATGGTGCTCATGACCACATTCCATTATTGTACAATAGTGGAAACTGCCCAATCTATGTTGCACCCAGTGACATTTGTAAGGATGAGACTGAGATCCTTTCTAGACGTCTACACTTGTTCTTGCACAGTTGGTTAAGAGGAGAGATGGATAAAAGAAAAGGAAAGGCAGCCCCATGTGAGCAGTAACCAGAAAATGACTCCTGGCCTCACATTAAGTAGATATATGTGAAGGGACTATAAAATGGTATGATTTATTCTGGGTTTGGTCCTGAGTTGAATTTGGGATTTATCCTATTGAGATTTAATGAACTCTTCCTAGGCTCAAAGTATTATTGAGTAAGTGATGGAATTCCCCCACATAGTTCTTGAGGACAGCTGTGGTGAGAGGTGCTTCTAGCACTGTGTCCCTGTCCACATTATGCCTTGAATTTGAAAAAGTGACATAACCTCTCTGAACTCTGGAAATCCCTGCAGTGAGGTCTGCAGTAGAGGAGGGCTGGGAGATAATAAGGAACCTGAATGGCCCCTGTGTGTGAATGTCCAGCATCCAGAGCTCCTGGCTTCTGATCGGTACTCAAAAGTGTTACTTAAGGGCATACCTGACTGACGGGTCAATTGGGCTTCAGACAAAGTAATTGCCTTCTCTTTAATCACCAGCCTTTCTCCTAAAAATTAAAATATGTGTGTAGTTTAAATATTAGATTGTGCCTAATCTGAATAAAAATTCTCTGTGCTTCAAATACAAAAGGATGTTATATATTTAATGTTTAATACTTATCTTGTTGCATGTATTCCAAGAACAAAAAGTGATTTAAATCCATATCTACAAAAGAGCAAAGTACCTAGATCAAATAAATGTATTATGAGATTTATCTTCTGAAGTTGAGCTGGTCACTTGTTATGGGACATATCACATGTTTTATTTATTTATTCATTTATTTATTTATTTGACAGATAGAGTTAGACAGTGAGAGAAAGAGAAAAAGGTCTTCCTTCCGTTGGTTCACCTCGCAAATGGCTGCCATGGCCTGCGCTGCGCCAATCCGAAGCCAGGAGCCAGATGCCTTTTCCTGGTGTCCCACACAGGTGCAGGCGCTCAAGCACTTGGGCCATCCTCCACTGCCCTCCCGGGCCACAGCAGAGAGCTGGACTGGAAGAGGAGAAGCCGGGACTAGAACCCGGCGCCCATATGGGATGCCAGCACTGCAGGCAGAGGATTAACCAAGTGATCCATGGCACTGGCCCCCATATCACATGTTTTCTAAAAGGCATTATTAAAAATATTTTTACAATTTGTCCATAATTGTGTTTCTGTTTTCAATTTCACTTAACTTGCCTGAATATAACATTCTGAAATTTTTATTTTGAAATAATTCTCATATTTTAGAAGAATATTCAAACTTTAATGTCTGAGATTTATAACAATAATTTCACTGGCAACAGCTTACATGTTTATTTTCTGTAGTAAATTTCTACTTCTAAAGACGATGTGTATGGATATATGATTGTATTCTATTAATTCTCATTGTCTTCTTATATTTTTTTCTCTCAAACATAGGTCATGGGAATAGTCCCCTAGTTTATGTTTAGATTGCTGCTTGTTCACTTATTTCTTTTTTTAGCATTTTAAAGCCTTTTTACGGTTTCCCTCCTACTGTTTTGCTTGGCAGAGACTTTCTAACCCAAACAGCTAAAAAGAAAAGTTCCACAGTAGCAGGGTGCCATATAAAACAGGATCCCACACCTAAAATCTAAATGGCCAGAGATGATAAAATGCCTGCTATTAAAAAATACATGTTTTTAACAGTTTATCTGGAAAAAGTTTTCCTTAGAGTGACATTTAATGTAATATGATTTGAAATGAGTCCAGGCTGCCCCTCACATTCTTAGATGGAATAAACATTAAATGGAACAAACAATAACAAAATATAGAAAACATGTTTATGAAAATAGATAGGTTTATTGCATCTTTGGAATGTCACTGCTATTTGTAAGCTATTTCAATGATTATAAATATGGTGATTTATAAAGAAATGGTCTAAAATTATAAGTTCATTTTTAATTTAGTCCTTTGATTATAAACACTTTCACTCACATGAGGGATAAAGTGAACCTTTATTTTTAAAATAAGAATACATCAAATGTCGATAAGACAGTACTTTTATGTATACCATATACTAAGGTTCAGTTATAAATATTTTCACTCTAATTAAATAACTTTTAACTATTGGTTTAGGCTAGTCACAAGTCTTGACAACAAGGGTAGAAATAGATTTTCTTTAGAAAATAGAAAAATGTATTTAAAAGATTGCAATAATTATTTACAAGTCACTCTAATACTTAGCAATGTGATCCAAGCATAAGGCTAGCAAGCATAATGCTACCAAAAAGAAATGTGTAAACTTTCCCCTACTCTTCTTTTACTGTTTAGTCCAATTAGTTCTTTCCTGGCAATGAGAGTATATTCACTGGATTGAAGTTAGGTTTACATTTACGTTGATGAGATGAAGAAGGCCATAGTCTCAGCTACTGAATCCTTCCTGGTGTTCCCTCCCGGACCTTCTCTTTTCAAGTAATATGAATATGGAGAAGATAGAAGGAAGGGCGCAATTTCATGGAGATGAGAGAGAGAGAGAGAATGTATGTGTGTGGGAGAGAGAGAGAAAGAGAGTGTGTGTGAGAAAGTGAGCGAGAGAGAGAGTATGTGTGTGAGAGAGTGTGTGTGAGAGAAAGAGAGTGTGTGTGAGAGAGTGAGAGAGAGCACGTATGTGTGTGTGTGAGAGAGTGTGAGAGAGAGCGAGAGAAAGAGAGTGTGTGTGTGTGAGAGAGTGTGTGTGACAGAGTGTGTGTGTGTGGGTGTGTGTGTGTGAGAGAGTGTGTGTGAGAGTGTGTGTGTGAGAGAGAGAGCGAGAGAGTATGTGTGTGTGTGTGAGTGTGTAAGAGAGAGAGAGAGAGAGAAGGAAAAGAAGGAGAAGGAGAAGAAAGGAGGAGGAGTGATAAAGAACACCTTCATAAGTCAGAGAATCTTTACCATCTGGGGAAACTTACAGTGAAAGACTCACCCATTACACTCTTATGAGTTGACTTCTACCATCTTACCAACAGGGACCCTGATTCCGTTTTCCTGGGATTACAAGAATGCCTTTAATCAGATAGGTGGGGGAAAGGGAATGAAAGTTGAAAAGGGAACATGGCTTAGCCCAAATCCTCTCCAAAAGAGCATAACTCTGAATGGTACTCAATTTAGTGCTTAGTGCACTATTTTCTACTGCATAATGAAATGCTGGCCTAGGGTCCAA